AAGCAATGTAGGTGGCGCTGCACAGCCATGTAGGTGGTGCTGCGAAGCAGTGTAGGTGGCGCTGCACAGCCATGTAGGTGGCGCTGCGAAGCAATGTAGGTGGCGCTGCACAGCCATGTAGGTGGTGCTGCGAAGCAGTGTAGGTGGCGCTGCACAGCCATGTAGGTGGTGCTGCGAAGCAACGTAGGTGGCGCTGCACGAGCGGTGTGTATGCGGTGCTGCGCTGCGTAGCGTAGGTGGCGCTGCACGAGCGGTGTATGCAGGGCTGCGCTGCGTGGCGTAGGGGGCGCTGCACGAGCGGTGTTGCGCTGCGTGGCGTAGGTGGCGCTGCGGTCGACTCACGGGTTTATCGGCGGCGAGCGAGTGCTGGACGGGCGTGAACTGTATGTTCTGCCGTGGTCCACTCCTCAGATCCTCCATCGGCGTCTGCTTCACCTGCCACACCTTCACGTCACCCCTGCAGAGATAGAGAGAGGTAAAGGGTTAATGACGAGAGAGTGATAACATGTGATAATGAACACACAGAGAGAGACCCTTGCAGCGAGATAGAGAGGGGTAAAGGGTTAATGACGAGACATACAGAATGTGATAACATGTGTTTCACCTGCCACACCTTCACCTCACCCTTGCAGAGATAGAGAGAGGTAAAGGGTTAATCATGAGAGACACACAGAGACACCCCTGCAGAGATAGAGAGAGGTAAAGGGTTAATCATGAGAGACACACAGAGACACCCCTGCAGAGATAGAGAGAGGTCAAGGGTTAATCATGAGAGACACAGAGAGACACCCCTGCAGCGAGATATAGAGGGGTAAAGGGTTAATCATGAAAGACACAGAGACACCCCTGCAGCGAGAAAGAGAGAGGTAAAGGGTTAATCATGAAAGACACAGAGAGACACACCTGCAGCGAGATAGAGAGAGGTAAAGGGTTAATCATGAGAGACACAGAGAGACACCCCTGCAGCGAGATAGAGCAGGGTAAAGGGTTAAGCATGAGACATACAGACCGTGATAACATGTGATAGAGATGGAGAGACAGTAAGAGAGGGAGAGAGCGAGCGATCTGGAGACAGACAGACAAAGAGAGAGAGAGAGACAGAGTGCGAGGGAGAGAGAGAGAGGAGAGGGAGAGAGAGAGAGAGAGAGAGAGA